TAGCCCCTGAGATTTGAAGGCAGGTTCATTTTGCGATATTGAGCTCGGAACAAAAGAAGCGGCGGAGGGAGGCGCGGCAGCAGAGGTGGTGGTCGCCCTTCGCGCGCGCGGGGCATGTGACGTAGGTGGATGTCGGGGTTCGATTTTGAAAATACTATTGGAAAGTGTAGAATTATTCTTGCTTGCAGAAACCACACACTCAAAGCAGGGAGAAAAGACTACAGTGGGCTTTTCTTATTAACTAATTCGCTCTACTGGAAATCTTGTATCCCCAACAAGAGAATAAAATCTATTGTTGCTCACACAAAAGAAGATGTTCAAAAATTGAAACATCAAAATAATATTTTTTGTTCAAAAATCACATATGTATTTACTTGTACTGATAAAATTCCTTGTAAATACGTAATTTAAAATGGTTGCAACTTTTTATTGAAATGAGATTATATAGTGTTTATCTCAGTTCAATATGTTTTTGTATTGTTTTGTTAATTTAACAATTGTTTAAGTTTGCATTCTAGAATTGAAAATCAAGAAATACGTTAATATGCAATAGCGTTTTGCACTGATCGAGCAAATGTAGTTTGAGAAAGAATCCCAGGAAGAACGATCCGGAATATTGAACAGAATACAATTAATGAGAAGTGTTTCAATATGGTTGAATGTATATTGTCGAAGTTGAGAATTATACACAAAATAAGCTAAGCACTTTTCAGATCTCATGTTCATCTAAAATACCTGTATATACTTCTTATGCATCCTAAGTGACATTATTCTGGCATGCATCCAAATTCGATCACACAGTCTTTTCTTTCTACACTTTGTAATAATTTCTATGTTCAATGTCTTTCTGCATGAGGCGTGATAGCAGTTTCGTGTTTTCGATCAACTAGTAAAATATATGCGTAATCCACAAACGCGTGAATACTTTTACCCTCTCTCTCCCTCTTCCACTCACCTTGAGATCTCCTTGTGTCATCGAAGACCGTTCGTCCACCGGCGAAGTCTCGGCGGAGTGGCTCTTGCGTGAGTTGTCGCAGAGGATCCTCGATTCCGACTAATAGTTCCAGGGGGCTCAGGTGAGTGCCCTCTGTGGGCGGAGGGGTGGGGTGGGCTCAGGTGAGGCGAAAGCGAAACTTGTAAACAAACCTTTGTGCCCAGGCCGGGCCTTTGACCGATCACAAGCGGGCGAAAGAGCCCGCAAGTGGTAGGGGAAGGCCTGCGGTTTAAGGGAGTCCACAGGAAATTTTGTTGTAAAACGTGTCGTGTTCGATTTGAAACTTTCGCTCTGAATATTGAAATAAAAAAATGCAATTCTTCTTTTTAGAAAAACATATTTCCGAATATTTTGGAAATTTTTGCTTTTACTTTTTTTGAACATGTTAGATTTTTATTTCTCAACTATTTCATTCTTTATATTCTTTTCATTTGATTGAAAATTGTGCAAAGGATGGCTAGATATGCGCGTTAGGTTTTTGTTTGAAATGCAGGGATTGCGGAATTCACATGTGAAGAAGTTAATTTATATGTGTGACGACAACGTAAATATCTTCTTGCTTAATAGTCAGTACCGTGTCACCATAATTTGCCTTGTATCTCACAATATTTATCAGACATCAACGGCATTGCGAAGTTTTCAGACATCTCACATTCATGTCGCTCAGAATTTCGTCGCTGTGCTCTGAAAAATGTGGCAGTTTTTGTGAAAAACTTGCTAGTCACTCCGTTGACATTTGCAAGACAGTGTTTTGATAGCACAGTGTTAATAATGTTAAGATTTTGTGTTGTCTGACTGTGCCACTTCCTTAAGTATAAAATGAATTTAAAACACTTGATAGTATACATGTTGTCTACATCTTCACATGAAGTTCGCGTTTGCATTTATTTTTATGCTTTCAAGTTAGAGATGTTATTTTTTACCTGTAGTTTCAGAAATATTTCATTCCATCATTTATGATTTTTCAAGCTAAAATTATAATTTGCAGATTTAATATGTACATGAAGCTGGGTGACAAGAAAAAATGCTAAAAAAACTAACAATATAGGACTGTGTTATTTTTACAACGATTGATTAAATATGCGTTATGATTTATATGCTGTTGCTCTTAACAACTACTGTATTTTATTCTTAAAAAAGAAAGCATTCTGTATTTCTTAATTCACTTTTAGCATGCTCTGCTTCAATATTATAGATAAATTTGTATCTTCATTTTTGTTCACTTTACATAATTTGAAAACATACTTTTCGAGAAACTTTAAAATGATTTGCTAGTAATCTAGTTATATTATTCTAAACCAGATTTAATGAGCAACTTCGTTTGATTAGAACAAAATTGAAAAAAACTTGATTAAGTAGTATGTAAAAGGTTTGATAAAGATATAATTCAAATGTCAAAATGACAAACCAAATTGAATATTTATGAATTGTTTATACATATCTAGAACTTAATTACATGATCATTTTCGGTTCTTTGTAACATATATTCACTAATTTCTTAAATTTATTAACATATTTCGTTCGTAAGGGGTTGAAGAGATATTCTTAGTTCTTAAAAACGACTGAAAATAAGAAAACCTATTGAATTATAACGAGTAGATTATACTGTAAATCAACTATGGAGTACTGACCCCCCTGGTTAGTAAACACTGCTTCTCCCTCACCGAACATTCCATCTATAGTTCTCTGCTGGCCTTCAGATTTTTGGAGCAAAAAATGACCACCAGGCGTCCTTTTCCGGGTTGAGGTCGTTACCCCGTCTGCCCTGCCCTGCC